GGATACTTGATTATCACCTTATTGACTTTTCATCTTTTTAAGCGCTGCACTCTGTTGTTTTGAGATTTATTGTTTATGTTTGAGGCATTATGGTTGCCTAAAGTGTTCCAGCTGCTGACATTTATGAGAGCGCTCACTATCTTTTATATTTATTTCATTGGTACACGGGTAATAACTGTGAGGAATAAGATAATGGAGAAGGTAAAGTTTATAGGTGGAGATGGGATAGGCTTCTTTGAAGAGATGAGTTTTCAGGGATCGCCTAAGGGCTGTTAGAGTAGGACATTTGCAGAAAGATTTAAGTAGGTAGTTCCAGAGGATGAGAGAGGCAATAGAGTTGCCACCTAATCCCTTTAAACCCGAACACATATTATTTACACAGGTTCTGTGGCTGATTAAGGTGGTAGTTTAACTCACATAGTGCCTTATCTGCATTGTTAGCCCAGAACCTGTGCAATTATTGTGTTTGGTTTTAAAGGGATGAGGTGGCAACCCTACTCTGGAACCATTTCTGTCACATTTTAGACAGCAAGCAGAACATGACTGATGGACTTGCAGTATACTAAGGTCACAAATACCTTCAACCCAGTAACCCTATCTAAAACACCTCTCCCCATCCCAAATGACCAGATGACAAATATCCATTTTTGGAAACAAACATCCAATGGCCGCACATCCAGTAAAATCACCTTTATTTCTTCTGATAGCATATTCCACAAATATGACAAGGATACAGGACTCCAGCTAAGAATGCAGCCATCGGATGTTTGTTTGTATATTGGAGTCTGCTGCAGACAGAGCCAGCACCTGGGATTTAGTATATGTATGCTAGTGGAAGAGGGAACCGACCTGAAGTGGTTTTTTTTTTATTTTTTCATCCATTTTTGGAGTTGAATGGTCATAGCAGCTGTTTATTTTAACATAATAAACAAAATTAAATACAACATTGAGAAAAAGACAATCAATGCATAACAGGACAACAAAAACATCAGTAATTGATTCCACCAGGTCTAAGGTCTTTGAAGGCACATATGACCACATAAAATGGCTGTCTCTACCACCCATTCAAAAGGCCCCTAGCCACTACTACACCAACTCTGGGCCAATGAACTACCCATGCACTTCCAGATACAACCTAATAAACACCCCAATGTTACCATCATAACCTATTGATGGGAAGGGACACCCTACCTAAGATGGGCTCAACCTATAATTCTCCAACATTTTAAATCAGCCCTACCTTCAAAAACCCAGAGACCTCTGCCTTCTACTGTAAGAGGTGACTTGAATGTCCAGAACACTGAAGTGCTAACAAAAATCAGCAGGGAAATAAAAAAACACTTACTAAAAGGCAAAATAAAGTTGTCAAATCACTAAAACCAAGGCATCCAGGGGAGGTAGAGTGGGAAAAATTTCTCCAATGCAGTTAATTATCCAGCTGACCTCCGCCAAGGTCTTTCCTTCTCTTCTCACATGAAGAGCCATCCCCTGAAACCCCAAACCTTCCATTCAGGTAAGTGTCATTCTATATTCATAAATAAACCCACCAAAACTGATGTACAAATCAATTTCTTCTGCATCCATCAGTCATGCTGCCCTCCTCTTATTATCACTCATTTCCAGGCCAAATATTGTAATTTATCAGCTAATTCAATCATGCTTCTTGAATTCTCTGCTAAATGTTCTGACTATTGTCATCATGTCTACTTCTTCTACTATATAACCAAAATGTAATCCTTCTAAGAAATGATGAAAGGGAAGTGCCAGAGCTCCTGAAACATGCTGAATGTTCTATGTAACCTTGTTATGAGCTAACAATATTAACCTGTTGACACTGGCTGCATGCTTATATGAGGTAGCTTGGTGTTAAGGCCCTCCCGCTGAGCGGCTGCTTATATGCTGCCCTGTTAAAACTACTTACACTACTTACATGTTCCCTGCACGCTCCCAGCCCTAGAGCTGGTGGTGATCGGTAAGCTCCCAATGCATACTTGCAATTGTGAGCTTTCCGACCATGTGACCACTGTGACAGCCTATGGCAGTGGTCACATGACCCGAAGACAACGCCTCTGCTTCCCGACCCTTTAAGTGTTCTAAAAGCCGAAATGCGCCAAAGAGTTAAAATATTTAAAACTTTAGGATCTTTGGTCTGGTACTCTCATTAGATTGTGGATGGCTGCTATTTAGGCTCTGCGACAATTTTTTATAGAAAGTATACATTTGACAACAATAATAATAGATGCATGAAAAGAACAATGTTGATTTAATACAAGGATAGCAAACATTAGTGAAAAGGGAAAAAAAAAAGAAATATTTATATCTTACGATATCTTATGAGAACAAACAGGAACATATGGATGAAATGGAACACTTGTCAATGGTTGAGAGAAGGCCAGCTGCATAGACAAAGTCAGTCTGTTTCCTGCATTACAACAGAGATATTAGCATTAAAAAAGACCATTTAATTTACTGAGCTGGCCAAGCTGATTAAAGCACATTAAGTTATTTAATATAGCTCTGCAGTATTTGCAATATATATTTATATATGTTTTTATTAATTGTTTTACATTTTCATCACTCTGCTGGATTGTAGCAGAAAATAAATTATATTTATTGCCAACATTAGAGGGCTGTTGCTGTGGGTAAGGTGCATACAGTATGGCAGATATATATAGTATATATGGGTACGGCCTCCAGGCATACAGATGGAGCACATTAACGTTCCTTAACTCATTTAGCTGCAATCTACCTGATGGCTAGTGCTCAATCTTATCTAAAGATAAATGTACTTCATTAGTATGTGAATATTTTTAGTAACATTAGAGTGTCCTTTTACTAGAGTACATTGCAGTTCTTGCTGTTATATGGCTGACAGACACAGCAAGAACTGTTTACAACCCATTACTAATCTGACTAGAAGGAAAACCCACAAGTTTAGGTCTGCAATAGTTAAATCCCGGACCCTGCATTCACTATATCTAGTCTCCCACAGTACTCAGAACATGGAAATTCAGTTATTTTAGTAAATATAAACTGTTAAATACCTTTTCTCATCAGCAATATATAACAGTCTTGTGACTTCTATCAGTGTCAAGTTGAGCACATGTTAAAGCTTGTAGGAGTTTTCATTCTCCTCTCACTGCCCAATGAGATTGCATAACCCCTGACCTCTGTCTGGACAGTGCTGATTAGCCCTGTGGTGATCACATGCACCATCCCAAGAAAAAAAAAAAAAACTCTCTCTTGCAATACAAACCAAACGCAGCATGTGCAGAGTGTTCCCGAGGTTCTGTTCTATCAGGAGATGAAATGGGGACAGTTGAAGAAAGGGAGGATCAGAGAAGTCAGGATCAAACATCCTTTTTACACAATGCAGAGGATTAACCCCTTAGGTTCCACAGTGAGTATAACAAGCATGCTTTATTGAATATACAGAGCAATTTTACTGTTGTGGGTTTTATAACACTTTAACATATCACTGCATTTTTAGAAGTTATATCTACGAAACTGTAGCCTGTGAAATATCAGGATATTGTTGATTTCATTGATAGTAAATACATTTTTTGTCTCAAGGCAACTTCTAAAAAAAACACAAAAATTGCAAAAAATTAAAAACAAAGATGGTTAAAGGTTTGTTTTACAATATTGCTTCAACCAACTTCCTACTTTCTCCCGGGTTTATGTTATTTCTACATTTGTCCCTGTCACTTTGGGTGGACATCTTTGCTCCTTAAGGTATCAGCATGTTTGAAGCTGTATTTCATAAGTTTTAAATAGTGTGGGAAAGAGTTGAACTGTCAGGGACCCTTTTGGGGAGATTTTCTCCACTTCCTGTCCTTGTGATACCCATACAAGAAATACAGTGTTCAGGTGTCACCAGGGCAAGGCCTATAAAGCTATAAAAAAGCCAGATGTTCTATCTCTTGCCAAAAATGTGTTTTTGTTTTTTATCTGTCTCTGTTGGAGACATTTTTCATGATTTCCTGTCCTGACAGAACATAGCAATAAAATCTGTCAGAGGTTCTAACCATCCCCTGCACTATACAAACAAAATAAAAATGTTTGGTCTTGAGGTAACCCCATAATACTACCTCCTAGTGGCCTTTTAAACAGACTTTAATGCCTGGGAGGCAGTAGTGTATTTAGGTTTTGTGCTGCCCTAGGCAACACAAAAATCGTCTGCCCCCACAGACACCGATCAACACCCCCCCTTCCCCCTCCAACAGAGAGAGCCTGACATTGCTGACATTGACCAACAACACCTCTGCCCCCTACCCGGGAAAGCCTTCCACCCCCCCCGGCAAAAGAGAAAAAGATACTCATTTTCGGACAGCCCCTGGAACAAGAGTAAGGCTCTACATACACCATCAAGCAGCCAGCAGCCTCTCTCCGATCCCACCTGGTTCCCATGGCCTGAGTGTCCCTTCTTTCATCCCTTCTTCTGGGGGAGGTGCTGCCCCCCCTGAAAAATGTTGCCCTAGGCGGCAGGTGCCTTGTTTGCCTTGTGGTGAATACGCCCCTGCTGGGAGGTGGTGTAACGTTTATATCATGTGAGCTCTGTGATTGGCTCTCACAGCAGTCACATGATCAGGAGCCCTTCCCACTGACTCCAGATCAGAAGCTCTTTATCTACTGTAGTTATTTTTCTCTCTCGGTATCTAGATACCTCTACATGCTATAGTTCTACCCAAAATGCAACCACTACTAATCACTCCAATCCAATTGCCTGTCTGCCTGCCAACTACCATGGGGTGGACTAAGTGGCTGTAAACCTCAGACATGAAATATGAAAAAAGCAAATCCCTCTATAATGTTTTTCTTGTCTCAGTTAACCGGTTCCCAACTGCCCTGTAACAGAACTACTGGTACAGGGTGGCAGGGCTGTGCAAAATTACGTATATATACCTGATTTTGTATTTGAGGGTAGGAGGTGGCTACAGCTGTCGATCACCCCTTCCTGACTGGATATTTCCCACTGGCACCCAACGATCGCCGAGGAACACTGACAGTGGAGAGGTCTGTATGTAAACAATACAGATCTCTCCCCTGTCAGCACCAGCATGCTTACACAGTAAAACACACACAGGCCACATAGTAAAACAGCACACAGCAGGGTCGGACTGACAACTCATGGGGCCCCTGGGCAATAGGGGATCATGGGGCCCCTGTGTCCTTGCCCAAACTCAAAAAAGCCTATGAAAAAGGTACCAGGGGCATCTCATGGGGCCCCCTACTGACCCGGGCCCTCAGGCAGTGCCCGAGTTTCCAAATGGTCAGTCTGCCCCTGGCACACAGTTTACTCTTTGATCGCCCCAGATGTTAACCCCTTCCTGCCCAGTGTCATTAGTACAGTGCCAGTGCTTTTTATTAGCACTGATCACTGTATTAGTGCCACTGGGGATGTCAGTTGCAGTTAGTCAGTTCCCACCTAGTGTTAGAATGCCTTCCGCAATCCCGCTATAAGTCGTTGATCACCGCCATTACTAGTAAAAATAAATAAAACTTCCAGTATATACAGCCATTTGTAGATGCTATAACTTTGATGTAAACCAATTAATTTACATGTATTGGGATTTTTTTTTTTTTAGCGAAGACATGTCGCAGAATACATTTTGACCTAAATTCATGACGAAATTTGATTTTTTACATTTATTTTTACTGGATGTTTTATGGCAAAAAATCAAAAATATTTTTTTTTTCCAAAATTGTCGGTCTTTTTTTGTTTATAGTGCAAAAAATTAAAAACGCAGAGGCAATCAAATACCACCAAAAGAAAGCTCCATTTGTGGGAAAAAGAGGACATACATTTTATTTGGGTGCAGCATTGCATGACCGCGCAATTGTCAGTTAAAGTAATACAGCACCATATCGCAAAAAAATGGCCTGGTGAGGAAGGGGGTTAAATCCTCTGGAGGGAAAGTGGTTAAAAACACTAAGGGGTTGATTTACTAATAGAATGTGCACTTTTCAAAGTGCAGTTGCATTCTGCAAGAGCAGTTGCTCCAGAGCTTAGTAAATCATACAATCATGTGTAATTAAAAATGCTTTTTTTTCAATTTTCCTGTCATGTGATTGGGTATTCCTTGCAAAATGAATCTTTATCTCATTTACAAAGCTCTGGAGCAATTGCAATTGCAGAGTGCAACTGCACCTTGTATTGTGCACAGTCTATTTGCCTTTAGTAAATCAACCCCTAAGTGTAATTTCTGCCTGCTGCCTCATTCCTCTGCTATCTGCATGAGTCACATCTGACAGGTTTTCCTGACACCATGAGAAAAAGGGTGAGAGGGGAGGGACCTCCAGCAGATTGACAGCCTCAGCTCTGTTCTTGTGTGCTATATGAAGGTGTCTCTTCCCTCCAATCAGTTATCAGAGCTCTCCTAACTGAGGTCTGTGGTGGGTCTGAACTCTCAGACAAGCTTTATACAGTAAATTCTGGATAAGAAGAGAAGACTGCAGATAAACAGGCATAACTTCCATAGAAGAATTTGTTTAACCGCTTGCTGACTGCCTCACATAGAAGTGCACCGGCAAAGTGGCCTCTCTGCACTGGATAATGTATCTAATATGCGATTCAGTTCTTCACCCCAGCTGTGCTGGGATTAGTTACAGCATGAGCTAATCAGCGGTTAATGATTGATGGCAAAGCAGATGACAGGACAGAGCTCTGTGAATATAAACAACACAGAGCTCTGTCCTGTCAGAGTGAATGTACCGGTTTTTGTTTCCCTGTAAAGCAGGGCACATTTCTTAGTAAAATTAGCACACCGTACACACACCAAGCACTGTAAGGCACACAGTTAACCCTTTAATTGTCCCTAGATGTCAATCCCTTCCCAGCTAGTGCCATTAGTACAATGTCAATGTCAGGGGCGGACTGACGATTCGAGCACTCGGGCACTGCCTGAGGGCCAGGGGTCAGTAGGGGACCCTATGAAATGCCCCTGGTACCTTTTATAGGCTTTTTTGGGTGTGCTTTGAGTGTGGGCAAGGACACAGGGGCCCCATGATCCCCTATTTCCAGGGGGCCCCATGAGTTGTCAGTCCGCCCCTGGTCAATGTATATTATTAGCACTGATCACTGTATTAATGTCACTGGAGATGTCAGTGGCAGTGAGCCAATTTCCATAAAGTGTCATATTGCCCTTTGTACTATACTATTCATCACAGCCATTACTAGTATAAAATAAATAAATAAAAATTACAGTATATATCCTATAGTTTTATAACATTCACACAAACCAATAAATATACGCTTATTTGGGATTTTTGTTTACCAAAAAATATGTAGCAGAATACATTTTGACCTACATTTTTTAGAAATTTGATTTTTTTATTTTTTTTATTGGATATGTTTTATCACAAAAAGTAAAAAAAATATTTTTTTTAAATGTTTTTTTTTCTTTTTATGTAATAAAAAAAAAAAAAAAATCCAGTGGTGATCAAATACCACCAAAAACCAGTGTTGTATGAAAGCGCAATTGTCAGTTAAAGTAGCCCAGAGCCGCATAGCAAAAAATGGCCTGTTCATGAAGGAAAAGCTTCTGGAGGGTAAGTAGTTAATCTCTGTGTATCACCTGAGGCCAGTCACTTCACTGGGTATATGCAAAGATTTACAGTCACTTTAAATGTCATTGGAATATTTTGTTTGTGCTCATCTCTAATTACAATGCATTGAATATTGGAATTTTTAAACAGTAATGTTCTATTTCTCCAATTTTTCAGACTACATCTATTCTGTTTTGAAACTAAAGTTTGTTCATTTCTTTAAAAAAAAAATACTTTTATCTTAGCTCCAGTCATAAAAGAATAACAGCATTTTTCAGATCAAAATTTGTTGTGCTTAAAAAGACGTTAAAAAACCTCTGACATTGTAAATTACTATCTGTCTGGGAGCCAATATAATGAAAGAACAAATCCATTCAGTATTCTAACAGGCATTTCCAATAGGAACTGCCTGTTTTGGAAGCAGCTGCCATCTGCATTTGCAGACAGAGTGAAGATACTTTAAAGTGGTTCTAAAGTCTAAAGTTTTTTTATCTTATTTCATTATATGCATTAAGGCCACTACCTGTCCTATCCACCTCCATCCCTAAACACTTGACCTGACTCTCATCATCACTGTAGCGTTGTCTCAGCTGCAGAGCCACTCCAAACCAGGGGCGGACTGACCATTTGAGCACTCGGGCACTGCCCGAGGTCCCGGGGTCAGTAGGGGGCCCCATGAGATGCCCCTGGTACCTTTCATTGGCTTTTTCATAGGCTTTTTGGATGTGGGTGAGGACACAGGGGCCCCATGATCCCCTATTGCCGGGGGGGGCCATGAGTTGTCAGTCCGCCCCTGCTCTGTACACTTCCTGGTCTCACAGGAGAAACTAAGGGCAGTGGAGCCATAGGCTCCTGCTGCTGTTAGTCATTCTCCTGTGTTGAGGAGCAGAGGCACTGTGTGTGTGTCTATAGATGCACACACCCTGGGATGGGAGCATACATGAGGGGTTCCTCCTTAGCACCGGGCTTGCCAAGAAATCACCTGGGGCATGGAGAAACTGACAGCACTAGAGTGGGATTGCTAGAAGATGAGGTAATGAACATCTCTGTGAAATATCATTTTTAGATCATCTGTGTTTTTTATTTTTTGCGCTATAAACTAAAAAAAAACGGACAATTTAAAATAAAAGAAAAAAATATATTTTTGGCTTTTTGCTATTAAACATGTCCAATTAAAAAATGTAAAAAAACTAATGTCATCATAAATTTAGGCCAAAATGTATTCTGCTACATGCCTTTGCTAAAAAATATTCCCACTATGTGTAAATTAATTGGTTTACATTAAAGTTATAGCGTCTACAAATGGTGGTATATATACTGCAATTTTTATTTATTTAAATTTTTTTACTAGTAATGGCGGCGATCAGCGATTTATTGCGGGACAGCGGCAGGTATTCTGACACTGGGGGGGGGGGGAGACTGACAGCCACTGAGATCCCCAGTGGCACTAATATGTCACCCCAATGTCAGTGCTAATAAAAAGCACTGACACTGTACTAATGACCTGGGAAGGAAGGGGTTAACATTTGGTCCGATCAAAGGGTTAACTGTGTGCTGTGTATGTTTTACATAGTGTGCTGTGTGTGTTTTACTGTACAATACAAAATTACATATATATATATATATATATATACATAATTTTGTGCATCCTTGCTGCCCTGTAGCAGTACTTCTGCTATAGGGTGGTTGGGAAGTGGTTAAAGGGAAATGCTGAGAACTCTGAGTCTGCAGCGTACCCCCTTACATCAGAGTTCCCTCCGTAAATTCCGTAATTGGTGTTTCCCCTTAAATTAGAGTCCCCAGGGTTCTCCCTTACATCAGAGTCTGCAGAGTCCCCCCTTACAGTGTAAGTTCAGATGTAATTGGAACTCTGCTGATGCAAATGTAAAGGGGAACTCTGCAGATTCAGATATAAAGGGGAACACTGTGGAATCAGATGTAAAAGGAAACTCTGCGATTGAGAAGTAAGGGGAAACTGCCAATTCATATATATAAAGGGGAACTCTGCCAATTTAGATGTAAAGGGGAACTCTGTGGATTCAGATTTAAGGAGAAACTTTGCAGATTCAGATGTAAAGGGGAACTCTGTGGACTTAGATGTAAAGTGAAACTCTGTGGATTCAGATTTAAAGGGGAACTCTGTGGATTCAGATGCAAAAGGGGGACTCTGTGGACTCTGATGTAAGGGGGGACTCTTGTGGTTAGAAATCTTATTTAATCACAAAGTATATGTATAGTGTATACTGCAAACAAAAATTGGCCGCAAAAGTGTTCTGGTTTGATTTGAAGAAAAGGGGGCAACCCTACCCAAGACAGTAAGAAGGGGGACCACTGCAGAACATGTGAAAGGGTCCCCCTGCACGGCTGTAATAAAGGGCCCTGCGATGGGAGTAAAGGGCCTCATGTTCTGAAAGAAGGGAGGCCAGGGGAACCCATCATGGTTTCTTCCAGCGGGGCCCTGAAGGTTCTAGTTATGCAACTACACGGGACAATCATTTTTAGGGCCCATTGTCATTTTTCCACTACAGTGTGTTACAAACATGCATAATTTCTCACTGTGTTGCATGTTTTGTGTTAAGGGAGCCCATTTATGTGAAAGGGCTGCCATTTTTTCTGACACAATAAAGTGATACCAAACCTAAAAAAGTTTTTAAGTTCCCTTTGCTCCCCCTTCCCTGTGTGAAGGGGAAGAGAGGGAAGAAGATATCAGCACTGTGCATGGCTGCATACCTTCTCCCCTCTCTTCTCTTCACACAGGGTCTTGACACAGCAGCAAGAGCAAGCCAGCCTTAGAACAGGGGGAAATTCCAGAGGAGCTGAGCTGCAGAGCCTCTCAGCCCTACCACAATTCGACCCCTCTGGCTATTACATTTGAGCTGCTATTCAGCTCCTGTCTAACCATTAGAATCTAGCCCCCCCCCCC